TATAATATGTGCGTGTGTTTGTCTTCATTCAAATATTTTATTTGATATTTTTATAGCTTAATTGGAAGAGCAATTAACATCAGATATAGACTATATAGGAATCGGACATCAGACAATATTTGGATTTACGATAGCCAGTCATCTGCTGACATAATGTTGAGGAAGTTTTGTATTTTCCCGTTTTTTATTTTATGCATCGCTTTTGTAAGAAAGAATTTTTGCATTATCTATTAATTTTAAACATGAAAATGATTGTTTTGATACTGACGACGATCATAGCAGTAGCATTTGGTTAAAACCATTTATAATCTCATCTTTTCTTATTTTAAGAATCTCTACTTACTACTAACATCAATATGTTGGACACTTTTTTTTAATATTTCAGATCATATACAGTTTACTAACGGTGGTATTTGTACATGAGTCAGCCAGACAAACAATTCCAATCCCGAAGGTACAGTATGCAATCAATCGTGTTTTATATTAGATAAATGAGTATAAATTTTAAATACTTCAATCAATGCTTTATTACTCTTATAGCTGCATGTAAATTTGTTGTTAACAGGGAGGTTTCATTTGCGAACGCGTGCGGTTAGTGTGACGGAAATGTCATCGTTTTGACGGCATACGCCGGTAACGGTTAGCGCTAACCGATGGGGCGTTCTCACACAGGTGCTGATGGTTAGCTCCAGGGGCTGGATTTATCAAACTAGAAGTCAGCTTATATTCGTCTTAAGTCCGTTTTTTTCAAGTCCGATTTATCAATATGGCTCAGCTTTAAAATTGCTTGAAATGAAAAAGTCGATTGTACGCATGCGCCATCCAAGACGACTTTAACATTAAGATTTTGCTAATATGGTTTGATAAATCATCTTATGATATTTGCTTAGGGACATATTATGTTTTTTGACTTAAGAAATTTGCTAAGTTGAAATTGATAAATCCCGGGCCAGCCGGATACTAGGGCTCTCGTGTGAACCTGACCTTAGTGAACGTGCCTGGTGCGCTTTGTGCGGGCGTTCATTCATTTGTTCGAATTGGTAGTTAGCGGCGTTTAATTTTGGTAAAACGCATCGCATTCTTTAGTCCACCAGAAATACGGATTTGAAGCACCAAAGTCGGACATAATTGCAGCAAAACATTTTTTTTATAAATATATTTATTTTGAATAATTTTATCTCTACATCATACAAAAAGTTTACCAAAATACACCTACGGGAAAGGTGATTTTTATAGCAAAGAAAATTGAACTATTTCACTGGGCTGACGGTTTGTGTGCTGTGTCTTGGTTACGAAGCGCTTTAATTTGATTTGCCGCTGACACTTTTGATTGGTTAACATACCTTCAAAACAGTCTGCTCGTATCCTGTTACGCAACACGTAATACGCAAGTTCGTACGTACGTCACGTTCCATAATGTAAACTCGGAAGTAAACCTGAAATTGTTAGATAGTGATCTTTTATCAATAGTTGCTGTTTATTACATTTTATGTAATAGTAGCGTGCTGCGCTTTTGTACGACGAAATTCAAATTCAGCAAACTGGGTTCGGCAAACCGGGTTTCGGCAAACTGGGATTTCATGTTTTTAGTGAACTAGATTCGGTCGTATATTTTGTATCTTCGATAGCATTTATATGATATTATCTGGAGGTCTTGGGTAGTGGGAAGCTATGGAAAAAAATTCTGGTCCTAAGGAGTAAAAAAGGTTACCGACCGTCGGATTAATTAATTTCACACTCTCTTTTGTCTTGTTTTACTGTGTGTGTTGTGGGCGCTAAGGATCAAATTCGGCTAGATGAATCACCCTCATTAAAGATTGTTGAAATAAAATAAATAATTTTTTCGAGTCTAGGTCTATGTGATTTGAGCTATACAATGTATCTGATGTTTATAATTTTAAATAATAATAATAAAATAAAAATTAACAATGACATTAATATTTTTACCAAGTGACATTTTTTTTTTAGGTGTGAAGATGCATTTCATTTCACCTAGAAGCTGAATAGGCCTATGTATATTATTTGTAAACTACAGAATAGTTGTGCCTATTATGAGTTGAACGAGGAGCCCGTATTCTCAGACCGGAGCGCATGAATACATAAAGACTGTGGAGTGGGTGTGTTTCATCTGACAAAATGGCATTTAGTTTATTATGCACATACAGTATTGTTCGTATAAAGTTTCAACCGTGATTATATCACAGCCAATGCACCGTTCAGCTGAACGTCTGATCCTTTCAAACTTCCTCTTATTTTCTATGCTGATGTTTCCGAAAGTGCAAATTAAACAGAAATTGAGCACACTCTGAATAACTGATTTGTAAAATAACAACAGAATAGATTTATCAAGGGAAACACTCCTCAACTTTATAAGAAAATACAATCTAACTGTTGCTTTATTTGCCACTTTAGTACAATGTGCATTCCAGGTCAAACAGTCATCAACCGTTACTCCGAGGTAGCAATATTCATGTACCCTATCTACATATTCATTATTAATAACAACCGGATCATGAACAGATGGATTTCTACTGAAATCATATATGAGCTCTTTCGTCTTCTTAACATTTAAAATTAAAAAGTGATCCTTACACCATGTAACAGAAAATTAACATGTTTTCTTACTTAAAAACACGAATTAACTTTTTATAGCTAATACAATCAAACACATTGGCAAATAGTGTAAAATAATTGCTGACATTTTAAAAAGTATGATAATGACTGATAATTGGTTGATTTGAAATAGGCTTACTATTCTGCTCTTCATAAAAAAAAATGACGTAAGTTCAGGTTCGATGTCGAATTACAGTAAAATGCATTGTCATCTGGTGAATAGTATGGATAGAAGGTGACAGGGGACACGTACCCCAACTATTTTAAGGGGGTGGTCCCCTCACTTTTTGTCAGCAAGGTAAATTCCTAAGGAAGTCAAGAATATACCTGGAAATTGTTGAATTGAAATGACCAGATTTTAACGAAAGACCACTGTCAGGCAGAGAACATCTTATTTTATAACAAGATACCGCTGTTTCTATCCACAAACATCTGAATTAACTATACACGCCTTTATTATAATTTGAAAAGTATGAGAAAAAACGTGTAAAGATAAATTGGTTTTCGGCTCATGAAGTAGGTAAAGTTCATAACAATTATGTTTTATTTTTCTATCGCAGCGATTAATAATAGATCAATGATGATTAATTTTACATCACATATATTAATTAGATCTCTATGGTTGCCGAAAATCGCTAATAAAAGATCATGAGAAATTTGATGATAATGAATTTTACTACTGTATATAAAAGTGTCTTTTCCAATCTAGATACTATTTTTCTAAGTTTTTTCACCTCAGTCCCAACCACGTACGGCTGAAGTGGAGCTAAGAAAATTTATGATTATTGCACCTGTAGAAGGCCGGAAATTGCACTCTCAGACAACAACTTAAATACATTTTTTTCCCCTAATTATTTTTTGTTTTTTGGAATTTTAAAAAGGTTGGGCATCGCTCTTCATCAGGTGGTCATCATCAGTAGATGCCTCAAAACATTATATGAAGAATGTATTTTTAGGCTGGAATAGTGAAGCATATATTTTAGAGGGGTTCAAAGGGCTTCCCTATTGTTCAATATTTCAAATTAAAGAGCCATGCTATCAGTGCTTTAGGCTAGTTAATCTTAGGCACCAATTTCAGATCTACTAAGGCTTGAAGGTGTCCAGAAGGTATCCGCCCAGTCCTCTAGCCTTAGTACAGTAGATTTGAAATTGGTGCCTAAGATTATAAAGCCTAAATCACTGATAGTATGGCTCGGTAAATTAAAGTGGTGAGCAACAGGAAGCCGTTTTGATGATATTAACTTTTTTTTGTGGTTGTTAAGCCTAAGTTTACATTCAGTTTTGCCTACAATAATTACTGTTATTACGTTTAGTTCAAAATAGTTTAGTCTGAGTTTACATTCGATTTCGCCTACATAATTGCTGTTTATTACATTTTATGTAATAGTAGCGTGCTGCGCTTTTGTACGACGAAATTCAAATTCAGCAAACTGGGTTCGGCATACCGGGTTTCGGCAAACTGGGATTTCATGTTTTTAGTGAACTAGATTCGGTCGTATATTTTGTATCTTCGATAGCATTTATATGATATTATCTGGAGGTCTTGGGTAGTGGGAAGCTATGGAAAAAAATTCTGGTCCTAAGGAGTAAAAAAGGTTACCGACCGTCGGATTAATTAATTAATTTCATACTCTGTTTTGTCTTGTTTTACTGTGTGTGTTGTGGGCGCTAATAATCAAATTCGGCTAGATGAATCACCCTCATTAAAAATTGTTGAAATAAAATAAATAATTTTTTCGAGTCTAGGTCTATGTAATTTGAGCCATCCAATGTATCTGATGTTTATAATTTTAAATAATAATAAGGTAAAAAATAACAATGACATTAATATTATTATCAAGTGACATTTTTTTTTAGGTGTGAAGATGCATTTCATTTCACCTAGAAGCTGAATAGGCCTATGTATATTATTTGTAAACTACAATGGTAATTTAACCAAAAATGTTTTCAGCACAAAATATTTTACTACCATTAAGAATTTATTAATAATGAGGCTTATTTGTATTTGTCCTATATATAGTAACTATATACACTACTTCAACGATAAATAAACTAGTAGTTCTACATCAGTAGGCCTATGCATTTCTAGTTCTATTCTACTCTTAAACGCTCACTGATGAGACATTGAAAATAGTCCAAGGCCTACATTATTAAGATTTTCTATATACGTTCATGCTTGGGTTGGCCGAGAAAATGTTGCAATGCGGGAAGGTGTGCGTGACTGAACCGGGAAGCAAGAGAGGGATGCCTAGGCTAGGGACTAAAAAATGAAATGTTATACAATGTCTTAGGCCTAGACTTTACATTAACATTTGTCTCGGTCATACACGGAACTGCTCTGGCATGATTCCAGTTATTGTCCAATATTTATAGATCTGTAATTCCTGCAAACCGGGAGTAATACTCCTTTGATTCGCCCGCAAAATATCACGATGCTCGCACCCGGGTCTCACTCTTCCGGCAACAAACAGATATGACATACGTTGACGTCTAACAGTTGACCAATCATATTAAAGAAAATTTTGAAAACCGCAGTACGAATCGTGTAAAAGTCTACTTTTAAATAGTACTAAACTTTTGGTTATAAAAAACACCTTTATATAGGTCCTATTCTGGTAATTTGTGATAAACTTTTGGTAATTGTTTTACTTATAATTAGGTTTATATTTAGATCATAAAACGTTTTGTTGCAATTTTGTCCAATCAAATCCGTATTTCTGGCGTACTACTTACTCAATTGTTGTTTCAGGTTGTAATCTTCTTTTTTTTTTTAAATAAAAACTTACCCACCCAACCTTCCCATAGTTATTTATGTGTCAGATAGGCAGTTTTTGGTCGCCA